TTCCGACGGGTTCGATGAATAAATATTCTACGCGTTCCGGGCAGTCCATCTTTATCGATTATTACAGTTTCCTCACCTTTTTGCGTTTTGAGGAAGTAGAAGACTTCTGGCGTTTTGGGAACGGGTTATGACACTCCATTCCTCTATTTTTATTAATACGTCTAAGAATGTTTCTGTAAGATTTTTGAAAAGAGATTTTCTTAAAAACGGAGAAGCAAAAAGAGTAAAAAAGTTCTGTAAATTTGGATCAAATTACAATTCAACAAAAGTTTCTTCCTTTTTTTGCAACTTTTTCTTTTTGAATTATAATTGATATTTTACTCGGGGTTGTAAACCATTGCACTAACAAATGGTAAACAAAGTCGTTGCTTGGAATGGAAAACAAAACTATTAAAATGGTTTTATATCCATTCACAAATAACTATATTTGTAATATTTATAATTCATTTATTAAAAGGTGATAATTTAATTTGGAAAAGTGGTAATTAACTATAATTTATAATATAATATATTAATTAATAATTATTGTTTAAAACATTTTATAGTACATTGTATTATATCACAACTATAGAATACACACAACACAATTCAACAAAAAATCATTCACCTGGAGTTTGTGGAAATTCGCTTTTGAAGTACTGTTGTGCTGGAGTTCTTGGGGGTTGGTCCGTCATTCTTCCAACGCCGGGAGTCATAGGAGGTTGGTCACTCATTCTTCCGACCCCAGGGGTCATTGGGGGTGCCATCTGCATAGGAGTGCTGACCGTATACTTCGGTGTTTGTGCCAAAAATCGTGGTGTTTGGTTAACATTAGTGAATGCAGATTGTGAAGGCGTTTGTACAGCTGGTGTCGCTGGTGTGAATACGTTTCTTCCAGGAGTTGCTGGAGTAGATGGTGTATTACTCATCATGTTACTTGAAGGAGTGAATGGCGTTTGTTGGAAGTTGCCATAACTTCGTTGGAATGTACCGTTGTTCGAGTTATCAAGCACCTTAAATTGTTCTTGTTCAAGGTTGATATTTCTCTGATTAGCGTCCAACTCGATGACAAATTGATTCCCCTTCATATTAACTATTTTACCCTTATAGTTCTTGTATATCCCTTCAGAAATAGTCACCTTCTTCCCTTTCATCTCTCTGAATGAAAGTCCTCGTGAACTTCTTGGTTCTTGGAATTTGTCTCGATCGTCATGTCGTTCAATCCGTCGATCCTGTCGTTGTACCACAGCGTTATGTAATGTATTTGGCCCTTGTATTTCTTTCGATTGGGCGACAATATAGGAGTTATTCTCTAACACACCAGGACATGTCAAAAACACTTTACTGAACTGGAAAATATGAATGAGCGTCGCTTCACGCCCTTTATAATTCCCACCGACTATCTTCACTTTGTCGCCAAGACTCACAAAGTTCCTCCTACAATCTTTACATCGCGCGTCACGTCTTTCAGGAAACTTCCCTTGGACTAGTGACGGTTCGATTTTGATTGTTTGATTGGCGTCGTTTAATATAACAAGACGATTGCTATCAGCCAAAATTTCTAGGACAAGTCCCGCACCCGAACTTAATTGAACAAAGTCGTTCACAGAGTAACCATTCAACTCGTTGATCTGTTGCCCAATCTCCTTCGTGTTTTCAATATCGATCATAGAAACGACAATTAACGCCTTTTTGCGATCCGTGAGTACAAACACTTCATCATCTTTCAAAGAATCGATGATACCCGTTTCACCTTTGTACATCCCATCAGTCACTTTAACTCTGTCTCCGCTGTTGAAGTATATTTGAACATCGGCAAATGTCATCCGGAGCGGGTCTTTGATCTCATTACCAACCACTACAACAAACTCTCCTTCGCTTTGGACAATCTTACTCTTCTTCCCATACACTCTCTCGTCACTATTGATAATTGTGACTAAATCTCCAACTTTGAAATTACGCGTTTTCCCAAACCGCAATTTCCCCTTCGCTTGCATCTCGTTGCCGACATTGAACTGAATCAGTTCCTCGTCTGTTGGCACTATATTGTTGAATTGAAGTGAAGATACTGGGAATGACTTATACACAAACCCGTCGTAATACGTTTGTCCGTTGAATTTATATATGGTGACCCCTTCCATGTCATCATTTTTAATCTCTTCGACGGCGTCTGCTATTCCGAGTTTCTGTGGGTCGAACATTTGTTTTGTGTTATTCTTCCCTTCGACTTTAAACCGTCTTTTCTTCACTCCCCCGCCCTCTTCGTCTTCTTCCTTCATGAGTTCGAGTTTCTTCTTTGCAATTGTCTGATATTTCTGGATATCAAACCGAGGCACTAACCTCACTTTGATCTTTTTGTTCTCTTCGATTTGCACAACAACACCAATGTCATTCTTATAATCCCCCGTCGCTACTCTGACGTACGTGTTCACTTCGATATTATCCGGCACTCTTGAAATGAGGAGTTCCTTAATTTGTTCGTCAGTCAGTTGCGTGCACGTGTTCACGTAAATGTCTCTGACGCCCTCGCACGCATCGACAAACTTCGGTTTATCGAGCGCCTCGACGTACAACACTCCTTTCTTTTCTACAGGTACAAACACAGAGAACATATGCATCGGTCGATCCTTATTAGTGATCCACAGCTTCATGACTCGCATCGCTATGTCCGTTTCATAGCCAGGACGACACTTCACAGCAAAGACGGGAAAGCTTTTATCATAATCTCTCTCCGGTAAATTCTCTTCAACTTCTTGTGGTTCGACCTCTTCGTTCTCTTCGACGTCGCGTTGTTCGACCATTTCAGCGTATTTCTTGGGATCAGATATCTTCTCTAAGAATTGCACGCGTGCGCGATTCGGCTGGTTATACCGTTGACGTGCTTCTTCCTCAGCTTTCCGTTGTTGTTCGGTCATCTGCATCTCTTCACTCTCGTCCTCATCGTCTTCTATGGCTTCGTCTTCTATAAACGCGTTCTTCCTAAAGTCATCATTTTCGTCCTCTTCACTGGACTCGTTCTGCAAACGTCGTTTTGTTTTGTGTTCGGACATCAAGTTTTGGTGTTCTCTTTTCAAGTTCTTTGAAATTGTTCTTATTCAATAATCTGACTTTTGTCACTTTTTGTTTATCGTGTTTTTTGTTGTACTATATTGATAAGTTGTGATTGTATTATCTTTAATACAATAATATCATTTATTTGAAATAAAAAAATAAGGTTTTCATCAGGTCTTTGTTATAAAATGTTTTTATTCAAAAATGTTATTATATAATAATTAATTAAATTAACGAGCTATATTATTTAACAAATAATTTATAATAAATTATTTTAATTTTATTAATTATGTTAATTTTATTAAAATTATAGTTTATTAATATAATATTTATTCTAATAAAATATAAATTTAATCAAAAAAAATAAAAAACATTTTTACCTTAAAAAACAAAAAAATATCGGTAGTTTAATTAAATTCAAATATGTCTCATTTTATTGAAAATCTGAATTCAAACATCCGATAAACAAAAAAGAGAAAGTACATAAAAAGAGAAGAACAAACTAAAAAAGAAAAATGACTGACATTGGATCGAACGCAATCTTTGTCAATCCAAACTCTCTTTCGGAACATGTCGGAAAGAGAGTGATACTTTTAGTTCGCATAAAACAGGCATCTGGTGAAATTGGTCCACTCGAGGTGAGCGTTGTTGGAAAGCAAATCACAATACAACAAACATCGATCACCTTCCCAGAAACACATGCCGAGACGGAGGTTCCGTTTAAAATCACTGCGACTGTAACAAACGAGAATGAAGTCGAATTAGTCTCTGTTGCCACATGTGAGTTTAGTTTGTTTGATATGTTTAACACGACAGTTGGAATGACACAAAGGTAGTAACATCTACAACAACTTGCTTGAGGTTGTATCATCTGGAAAAAGCGCTATATTCCACCCGACTGGAAACACCGATTATGCTGATTTAGATATCGAGTAATTATCATAGTTATGGTTAATTTATTAATATTTTCTAATTATACTATAATTCCTCAATAATTCAATTTTAAAAGCTTTTTGGTGCCTTTTGAGTCTCAAAAATCGCTGACCTACATATTTAGTTAAAATACTATTTAAATTACCATTTTTCATGTTAAAGAAACTATAAAAAATAAACTATATAAATATAGTATAATTATTATTGATAAAAAAAATATAAAAATATTATTTAAAAATGATCTTCCCAAATATTTCAAAAATTTATAATTATATTATAATAATATTACAATTATAACAATTATTTTATTTTATACATTTTTGAAAATATAAGGAATCTAGTATAATAAAGTAATATTATTAGTTATTTAATAAAAAATATAATTTCATAGTTAAATCTAATTAATAATATAGTTATACTGATATTGTTATATATATTATAACTAATAATATAGTTATAACAAAAGTATATCAAATGAAAGAAGTTGGTTGCTTATTCTTTGATGAAGACATTGAAGTCCTGCACGTAACAGATGTTTGACAACCCTCCTGTCCCGCCAGGACACCGACATAAAGGT